GCATACAGAGCAGATTTAATTATAATTAATATGATCAAATCTTGAATCCGTAACACTACTCAGTGCAAGTCCTTTACCTGATCCCCACACTGATAATTCATTCCAGCTTTAATGATTCTGCTTGATGCATATCAAATTAATTAGTTTTAAAAGGAGTCAAGAAGATTCTGAACATTCATTCTAATGCTCAGATTATTTTAAATGGAGTTTTCATCATTCTAATATTTGAGTTAGGTTGTAGTTCTGATGAACATGAAATTGACATAAATTTGGGAGCAAATAAAAACTTCAATGATTAATAAGTTAACATTAATTTATTAGGCACCTTTCCAAAAGAAAACAATGTTACCCGTGTATATACGCGCATAAAAGAGTGGCGGATCCAGGAATTTGAAATAAAGAGGGCCCGGGAAGGAATTTGACAGATGGAAGGTCTATACCACCTCAGACTTAAAATTTGAATGTAATTTTATTTTTCCTCCAATTTCCACGGGCCGGCAGGGCTCCCATTTGAATCTGCCACTGAAGAAGCAATTTGTATTTAGAAAAGCAATTGTTGAAATGCATAATTACAACCAAGATAGATGTAAATACAGAAGTTCTGTCAGTTGCTTTTTACTAAGGTACAAAGATGTATTTATTTATTTGAAATGTCATAACCGACTACGTATATATTTTTTATTGTTAGATATCTGATTTTGGAGTAAGTAATAAGTTTGAAGGAATCGATGCATTACTGTCGGATACAGCTGGTACACCTGCATTTATGGCACCAGAGAGTCTTTCGGAATATTCCAATAAGTATGGAGGTAGAGCACTTGATGTGTGGGCGATGGGAATCACACTATTCAGCTTTGTTTATGGCAAGGTAAATTGTTTAGTGGCTCGTAATGATGACCAATATTCAAAATTATCTGTAGACAGTGGCGTAATACATTAGAACTTCCTGGACAGAGGGTGGTGACCTACGTCCATGGGTTAGAAGGGGCCCTAGGAGGCCCATACTACTTTACTAGTACCAAAGAGGAAAATATGTGGCCCTTATTTTCAATTTTTTTTTTTTCCTTTCACAATGGGGAAACAGAGTGTTTGATCAGAGTGTTTGATTCAGGGGATGGTGAAATGCGAGCACAAAAAAATAGCCTAACCAAGCATGGAATTGTTTTGATTAGACAATGACTGAAATTTAAGAGCTTAAAGAGACTGCGCACCTTGGACCCCCAGTGTTAGGAGAAATAAACATAATCCCATCTCAAACCATAGGCTCTGATTGGTGCTCGGTCTCTTCGGAAGCCTATACTTACCCCGGTATTCTTAAAACAAACTTCGACTAGCACTACGACTAAATGACGCGAACCTCGCCTAAAATTATACCTCCGCAGGCCGATTTTTTTAGTCAGCCTAGGGTCAGGCTAAATCTCCGACTTGAAATGTTTACCCCAATGAAAACGTGCTTTTTGTAACTTACGATAAAGTAAGTAGTTCTGATGTATCTCCACTGTGTTCAAGAAAAGGGACATTACGTTTAGCTTCCAAAAGGCGAAATTAGCATGTTTTACTTGCCACATGCAACAGTTACTGATTTGCACGAAATCCTCTCGCGCTGCTGTCACGTAGATGCACCGTAACAACAACAAAGATGGCACCGCCCTCACTCGACCTCAACTGTAATAGTACTCCAAAGAAAGCAAATTTTTAATGACAGTACAAATTCTCTATCGTTTGATGTTAACGACTAACATAGTTATTAGTATATAATATTAGTTAGGCTAATAATGGTCAATTATGAATTATGAGGAAATATGTTTTTGAAAGACAGACGGCAGTTTAATATTCTTCTCTAAAATTTCGTCTGCTATTAAAATTAGCTCTTTTTATTGGTTAGTTTGATAGTTGTTGCTTGCCAGTCATCTTCAGCTGAACTACAACTAGGACTTGATTTAGTTGTAGTTAAAACTTCTACTACGTTGTTTGTGAATACAAATTGAAGTTGAAGTTGCAACTAAGACTAAATGAAGTTCTAGTTCGAAGTTCGACTAAAGTTTGTTTTAAGAATACGGGCGTTAGTCCACCGCTGCTACAACCTACATAGTATATCCAGGCCTTGTCAGCCATAGACTCTCATGAATGTTCAATGCGTATAAAGATGTTAAATTTCTTCAGGAGTTTTCGCATTGTATTAATTTTTTGTGGAAGTAGAAGAAAAGTGTAACTCAAAATAAGAAAGTGGGTAGTGACAAGAACAACGTTCTTGTGGGTGGTGACAAGAAAGACCTTCTTGTGGCCTAACAATAACAACCTTGTCCTTAAAATAAGTAAACACCCACTTTCCAGTCTTACTTTACTAATAGCATATTTGATGTGCAAGATATGTGACCTGTTCTTGTTTTGAAGGTTACATTTATTTAACTAAAGACAAGCTTAAAGCCCCTTAGGGTAGACTATACCTAAAGTCTGAATATGTATGCCTGTAAACCGCTTAATCAAAGTCATGCTTTCGAGTTTTATGATTATAAACGGGCAAGATAATTTAAGCATTTAAACATCCCGGTGGGCTGAATACTGTAAGTATTGAATTGAAATGCCTGTTTATAGCTGCATACCTTATAAAGCTAGAAAATGTATGCAGTGATTATTTTATCATGTGAGATGTATGAATGCTTATGTAATAATAATAAATATAATAAAATAATAGCAATGTGATCATATTCAAATACATAATTCCAAGATTTTAGGCCAAATAAGATAAATTGTTTGTTTGCCCTTCTTTTTAAAAAAATAATAGAGGCAGGTAGAAAAAGTTTTTTTTTATTATTTATTTTTTTTTTTATACTCATCAGATGGATATCTTATATCAGACAACAACTTTAGACTAATTTGTAGGGCATCTGGCAAAAACTAAAGATAAATTCACTTACATTTTTTATTAATTTGTAAAGAAAAAAGCTAAAAAAAAACTTTTTTCAAGTTCTTTTGTTTTTTCTTCCCTTTTTTTTCCAGTGAGTTAGGGTCGGGTGGAGGAGGGCAAACAAACAAAATTTTTTTTGGCCTTATCTGCTTTTTTTTATATAACCAGATGTTATTTCATATATCATAGTTTTTAATTTTAATTGTCAAAACCCTTGACATAAAACTATGTTATGTATTTATGTTATTTTTAGGTACCATATACAGACAGCTTTATTCTTGGTCTTCATAATAAGATTCGAACCCAGCCCCTCTCATTCCCAGATAGGTAAGTACATAGTTGTATATTTTGAATGACAGATATACAGAAAATAGTTCTGATTCATTAGGCCAAAAAACCAAAGCCCCGCTGACTCAAAATTGTAAACATCAAGAATTTTTATTTGGCGCCAAAAGAACTTGTGTTATTTTTCAAAAGGCCACTTTGTATGCTTTGATTAATACATTTGATATCTTAGGCATGAATTTTAGTCCTGTGCTTACCATTTTACCAAACAAAATGCATTAGTGAGTGATGGTTGTCAATAAGCCTTACAATTCCTGACTGATGGACCCTGATTTACAAATTTCACTGTGCTTAGTCAACACAAACATTTTTTGCCTTGTAAGAATGAATATATTGATTATATCAACCTAGAATAGAGAATTCATCACATGACATTTCTACCAATATTTGATTACATTTTCACTACCCTACCTTCCACAGGCCAGCAATATCACAAGAATTAATGGATTTGATTGAACGAATGTTGGAGAAAGATCCAGAGAAAAGAATTACACTTCCAGAGATAAAGGTAAACACTACTGTTCCTGACCATATAGTTATTTTTTTGCATATGTAGCAAAGATAAGCAAAACCAGTCAATCCTCACAAAAAATTGATTTTAGTTATTAATACAGGGTTAAAAAGTAAAATGAAAGTTTTAGAATGGTAAAAGAATAATTTAAATGTGACATAAAATAACGTAAGTTTAAACATCCTGCTGTTTAAAGAACAGCATTTGAGAAATCGACCTTCAAAGTTTACAATTTCGGCCATTACTCAGGCAGAGAATATCACCAAACTGTTAAAAATGTTGTTTTAACGTCGAAAATGGGGAAAATAACTACAAAGCATGCTGTATAGATATATAAAGTTAAGTTTAGTGCAATAAAATAGATTTTTAAAATTTAGGCATTCCATATGTTTTGGCCATTAACTCTGAAACATGATTTTAAAGGAGTGACAGGCTTGGCTTGTTTTCGCAACATAAGTTACTGTGATGTGTTAGAGGTTCTTTTTTATGATCCAAAGTCAAGTGTAAATAAATAGTGAGTAACATCTCAATTTTACAATTGACTTTGGATCATCAAAAAGAACCTTTAATACATACTTATCGTTGGATCCAATGAATTTATTCAATAATATGTTATTGTTCTTTACAGGTTTTGGTTGATATTGTTGTTGTTGCTGATTTTCAATTTACATTTGACATAATTATTATTCACCATTATAATTATGATTTTGTATTGACCAGGAACATGAGTGGGTGACTGTGAATGGAGAGGAACCAATGCTCTCTGAGGTTGAGAATTGCACTTTGATTGAAGTGTCTCAAGATGAGGTTGACTGTTGTGTCAAGCCAGTGCCTAAGCTAGAAACACTCGTAAGTAATACAGCATTTTCCACCGTTCAACAGGCCTGGAACCCCCTCTGTCTGATGCCATAAGTTTGTCAGACCAAAAATAATTTGCCTATCCAAATAATGTTATTTTGATTGCTAATCTCTAATTGTGTGGTCTGAAAGCACAATTTGGGTCATACTAAGCCAGAACTCCCCCTGTGAACCCTACCAGAGATTTTTTTTATTTTGGGACTCTGCCCAAGGCTCTACTTGGCCCATTGCTTTGGTCCCCCTCTCTGCTGAAACCATTGCTCTGGACAAGATGCATGGCTACTTGGAACCATATGCTGATTTTTCTTTGATTTTTTTTTTCAGATTTTAGTGAAGAAGATGTTAAATAAAGGTTCTTTTCAGAATCCTTACAAACAAGGTAGCAAAAGCAAAGAAGGAAAGGTTCTTATTCATCCCTTAAGTAAAATGTAAGTATCAGCAGTTAACATTTTGATCAGAGAACTGTGTTTGAACCTCAGATTGTTGACAATAACAATATCCCTTCTTTAACCATATTATTTATTTTTGTTCCTGAAGAGGTTTATGCATACCATATTCAGCTTATTATGATTTAACTTCATAATTTTGATTACATATATATTTACTTTTATGTGTTTTTCAGGACATTATGTGAGCCTGGTGAAAGAATGCGACATCGATCAGGTACTCCATAGAAAGGACATATCAGGATGATACTGTATTACCTGTTACTCATGATGATACTCTCAACATTATAAGGAACATTCTGGAAGTAGAAAACATGTAGTATCATCAAATCCTGTACTATTATACATCTCTCAGTATGGCTATTATACAGCCAAATTATATCTTGGAAATATCAATAAGCAACATATATTATTAAACTTTCAGGTGATGTGTATATTACATGGTATTAAGATGGTGGTAATTGGAAAATAACAAGTTGAAATAATACTTGGATGTTTCAATATTCTTCAAGAGTTTATGTGTCAGCATTTGTGAATGCTGTGTGTATATAAACAACATTGACATTTTACGTTAACAAATTTTTACCTTGTCTGATTCTTGAGAAGCGGAATTTTTTGAAATTTTTGTATGACAGAGCATGATGTAATTTGATTAAGGAATATTTTGTATAAAGTTGATTAGGTTTTTCTACAACTTAAATGATAATCAGGTTAAAATACGCATGTTTTGAGTGGTGAAGACTAGGGATAACTTTGAAATGTAATGCATGTAAAGTAGAAATTTAGTCTAATCGCATGTATTTGGCAATTAAAAAGATTCCCACTTGTATTTTTACTCTTTTACTTGAAAGATCACATTTTAATCATTATTCGTTCATCTACTTGGATAATAGAAAAGAATGAAAAAAAGTTGCATCATGAAATGGGTAGTTATGTTAAGATGACTGTCGACAAGAAACCAGGAATTTTACGATTTTTTGATTAGGCAGAAGATGGTAATAGGAATCCCACATTTAAATAAGGCACTTCTGGGAGATCTGGTTAAATCAGATTTTTTAAGACATCTAATTCCATTTCGCTGCACATAGTGATACCCAATGGCCCTAAAAACCTGCAAATATTTTGAATTTGCGGAAGGCAGGGTATATTCTGGGCGACTTGGGACACCTGTGGTGATCCACTGTAAGAATCAGCAAGGGAGGGGACATGATGATCCTTTTGTCAAATTGTGACCCTTCCCCACTGGTATTTCTAATATGGAATGGTTTGACCCCTTGCAAGTAGGACACTAAGCTTGTAAATCTAAGAAAAAATCTTTTTGAAGGTTGATAAATGTTCGATTTTTGATCCACTGTTTGAGTTTTAAAATTTGCAATATTAAAGTATTTGAAGTTGTTGACTGGGCAGTAAAGCAATATGCAAATAAGGTTGAATACTGTTATTTTTAGGTAAATATGACCTATAATCAGCATTATTAATTCATTATTAAAAGAGGTTGTCAATGTAACTATTAGTAAGTTAACTACAAATACATATACAGTAATGCTAAAGCGCTTAAAATGTGTTTAAAATATTTTTGGTTGATATTTTGTTCTAATATTATTTTACCAGGTAAAAATTTTAGTTATTTTTTTCATTGCCAAAAGTAGATATAAACTTTTAACGATCTACAAATCTAAATTTATTCTAAAATGTTATGTATCTTTAAACTCGGTCATAGGTCATTCTGAGTATTATACTGTACATATCAAGGGTTAACATTGTAAATGAGCCAGTCATTGCTACAGTTGTCTAGCAGAATTATCTGTCCCAATAGCCACGTTCATTTGGCCAACATTGACCAATAAAACAATACAAATGCATCAACTTCAGAGACAAAAAAAAACATGTTGAATTTCGTAATTTTTAAGGATAGAATAAACATTTTATATTTAGAAGTTCCCAATAGAAAATTAAAATTGAACTTAGTTTAGTGGAATTTTGAACATTAATTTTTAACATATATTTTTAATGAGAATAATTATATAAGCCAATCTATCATTTTTAAGGGGAGATTAACTTTTTATTCTAGTTTTTTTTTTTAGTAATGGTTAAATTTATGTATTGTGCTGCTGGAATTGAAATATTACAAGACACCGTCTTTTACTTGGGAATTATATGATGATTTCTAAATTATAGAAAATTATGACAATAATTGAATGTGTGTATGGTACATGTTATAGCTGTGGTATATATTTTTCCCACAGAGCACATATGCAATAATTTATTTGATTTCCATATCATTAAGCTTTAATATCACCATTTGAATATCTTGATTGATTTTTGATATCATTAACCTTTAATGTTACCTTTTATCTTGATAATTGTATTGTTTGAAATTTCCATTCCAAAGACTGAGTCTTCAGCTCTGTCTACACTACCAAATTATCTTTGACAAAAAAAATGTTATATGCCCATATATAGTCATGATGTGCCTATATATGGTCATGATGTGATGTCATCATAACCATATTTAGGCATGTCACATGTTTTTTGTTGAATAAAATTTGTTAGTCTTGACAGGGCTTTAGTGTGTACTATCATATTTTGATCTGTCAGACAATGTTTAAACTTTAATCTGATGATGTAGGGCATAGTCCACTATCTGCTGAAGCCCTGTCCACTCTACAGTGTATGTTGCCCATATATGGGCATGTTGATGTAATACCCTTAACACTGGCCGTATTCGACTGGTCGTTCTTCGTTAAACCATGCCCACCTGCGCAGTGGTAAAATCCTACTTGACGAATAAGACCAGTCTGATAGACAAAAATGTGATAGTGTATGCCTGCTTGTTATAGGTTCTCTGTCCACATTAAGTGTTGCCTGTGATTTGGTCATCCATATTAGGGTGTGAAAACATGTGATATGATGTTGGCTTGTACGAGTAAATCATAGGGAAGTTGACAGTCTGGACAAAGCATTAAGATATATATCTACTATTTTTCTATGGTTCATATTCTCTTGTAAGCCGTTGGTAGAATTTAGGCCAATGGTTAAAAATTTGTCCTTGTTTTGATTAAAATTAAGTATATAAAGACAGAATATGTTGCATTATATTTTTCTGCTAAAGGAGGTCCTTGTCCATTAAATGGGCATGTTTCGCATGTAAAATATTGTAAGCTGTATTACAAGTTTAAAATAAATTTTCAAGCAATTCTATTATATTTGTGTCTTCTATGGTTCAAACATACGAATGCATACACTCTAGGAATCCTCCCCTATTGCTGTAAGAGCTTATTACCCTATTCCCTCCCCCCCCCCACCCAGTTACGGGCCTAATGCTGTAAACAGCAAGAATATGTGGAGAGCATAGTTGCTGGATGTTATTTTTCAAAAAGGTCATACATCAATGAAAGTGTAGAACTATTTTTATTATTGACTTTCCAAAACAACAAACTAAACTGACTATACTGTAGTATAGTTTTTTTTTTCATAAATTACAAATAGTTAATTTTTTACTTTTACTACAATATTTTAATTACATGTAACAGTGCCAGTAGGACACAAGTCTGTAAACAGACATCTTTCTTCAAGGACTACCATGCTAGTGTCTTGCTTGGGGATTTCCTCTCAGGTTCCCAGAGTAAACCCCGTGGTGCCAGACAAGGGAAGAGATTGTATTGTTTACGATGGTAAAAAATGTGCAATATCAATATTTGGATATGCAATCTCAATCATCAAGTGAGCTCAACTGGCATCCGACAGGATGTATGTACATTCATTTCATGATTTGTGACCAATTTTAAATGTTTTTTTTTTACAATAATAATAATGAGATGAAATGAAACCCATCTTCTTACTGGCCCTAAGGTGCCATTTCAGCTATAGTGCAATTTATTGAATACAACTTAAGAAGTACATTTCAGCTATGGTAAAAAGAAATAAGAATCAAGGAAATATCAATATGGGTCAATTATACAGAATTTTTACAATTCCCTAACATCCCATTCTGACTGCTGGATCAGACATTCATTTCTATAAAGATAATTTCAATGCAGATAGTCTAGCATTATTCCTTTGATTCCCTATCAAAAGTCTTATCTATTGAGCTACAGGAACCAATATGTTTTACTGATTCAATTTCCCGAATCTATAAATATCTCAACCCAATCATCTAGCCACACAATGCTTCCTTCTTATGTATCAACACACCTAATGTTGTAGTCATAATTGCTTTCAAGTACTCCAATTCTTGATACTTTACAGAATCATTCTGGCTTTTCTTTTTCTTCTTGTGTTTTCAATTGAGCCTCAGCTATGTCACTGAGGGCTTGTTGTATCTGTGCTAATAGGATATCCCCTCGTCTCACAACATCACGCAGTTTCTTAGCAGCTTCATGATTCTCTTCCTCCAGCCTAGCTAAGCTTGCATTCTGAAACAGAGATGTAGGACATTTTGGCATTGTACTTCACTTATGAAATGACAAGAAAAACAACTTAGGATTTCTACATTGATTATATGATAAAAAAAAAAAGGTTGGAGTTGATATAATGTGCAGTTGATGTCATGAAATTTGAAACACTTATATTAAATAATAAGAATACAATTCATATACACCGGTAACAAAAACAAGTAACCATAGCAATAAACTATCTGAAAAATAAGAATAATATTAAATAACTAAATATAATTTGTTACAAATTTGTAAGTATTATATTGTTTGAAGGTTTGCATGGCTAAGTAATAATATTATATTAATATTATTATATTAATAGTAAAAATGTTAGTGTTTGCATTATGCAAAAAAAAAAATAAATGTGAAACATGGTTATGTTCTTAAGACACTACGAGGGAAAGGAAAACATGAGGCCATTAAGAACTTGCATTTCAGCCCTCTAGTTAAAACAAGATTTTCAACTGTTACCAGGATAGGAAGCTGGGTGGTTTAAGCCGTCTAACTTGAATTAGCCTTATCCGTGGAAAAGGCGTATTAAAATAAAAAGTAATGGCATTTGTGGATGAATATGTGTGCCTTATTATAATTGACATTATTACTAAGGACCTCCAAGGCTATCACAAATAAGCCAAGGTCGTCTTTGTACCTGAAGTTCAGTGGTAGACTCTTCACTTGGCAAGGAGTCAATGAGAAGGTCGATATCTTTGGCAGTTCTTGCAATTAACTGAGCAAACAACAGTGTCAGATCCTCCTGCTGCTGTGGTGGTGCTCCTGATTGCTCTGTGATAAAAATAAAAAATTGTTTAATCATATTTTTATCATACATTTATTGGGTACTTTAGTAAATACAGGCATGTGCTGTATCTTTACAAGTATTATCATCAAGATAATTTTCATTATTATTATAAAGAATACTGCAACCTAGGAGTAGGATTAATTATTACATCAAAATATTTTCAATAACATGGGCGTGTAAATTGTAATGATTATGTACAAGTTTGAATACATTATGTGTTTTCAACAGTGCTGCCTCTAGTAGTATACATTCAAACTAACTACATTTAGAAATATGTTGTCATGATCATCTTAGTTTATCATCATGTGTATTGCAAGTTTCAAACAGTAGTTCAATTTTCAACTTTCCATTTTACAGTGGGACTAAATTACCTTCCTTGACTGTACTTTGTAGTTTGCCAGGTGTAGCTGATTGCTGTAGTACACCAATGCTATTGCAAAAATGATCAGCAAGCTAGAATACAGAAATAAATGCAAATATTAACTTATGATATTAGATAATTATCAATGTGATGCATCATGACTGAAAAGTAGTTGTAAACTTTGGCTTAGTTAAGTACAGTCAATAAGGCCCACAAGGAAGGAGGGTGGATCATTTTATTAAGAGTTTTTCTGCTTTGTTGGTACATGGTTGGTAACGGCAATAGAAGTCAAAACTGCAACCAATTATAAACATTAAAGTGTACATGATTAAATACGGTAATGAGGCTAAATGGTCATAGCAATAACAATGTAACACTACAAATTCAATAATTAAAAAAAAGATTGGGGAACACAATATAAAAAAAGTAAACATTTAAATAAGTAAAACTTTAAAATAACAACAATAATAAATAATAATTGTTCTAAAGGAGAACAAGAACTTTATGTTTTGATTATTTTTGTTAATAATAATAATAATAATAATAATAATAATAATAATAATAATAATAATAATAATAATAATAATAGACAATGCAAGTAGTGTTTTTAAGCTACAATGTAGCAGTTTATTTAGCCTGCAAGGAGATAGGCAGTTTTTAATATCTATTGAGCCTGCAAGGAAGCAGGTAGTATATATGCTGCAAAGGGCACTTAGTTTTTTAGCCTGCATGAAAGCAGGGAATTATTTAGCCTGCAAGGAGACAGGCAGTTTGTAGTACTTTATAGCCTGCATTAAAGCAGTGGAAGATAACCTGAAATAAAGCAGTAGCCAAGCAAGTGGTTGTACTGTATTCTTTGTTGTTTGAACACCAAGATGCTCGACAACAACAATCATAATCATAATAATAATAATAATAATAATAATAATAATAATAAAACATACTAATTCAATAATAGATTGGGGGAAACAATATAAAAGCAGTTAAAAACATTTAAATAAATAAAACTTTCAAATACAGACAAAATCAGGCTAAACAATGTGTCATAAAAGTAAAAAATGTGAAATAATAACAAATAATAATAATAAAAGTAAAGTAAAAATGAATAATCTAAATAATTTGTCATATGTGTAATAGATAAAAATAACTGCAATTATACATTAAAAGTGGGAAAAAGAGCAATATTTGATTTGCCTGTCGGGACAATTTCAAAACGATTCAGAAAATTATGCAGCTAGTCTTGGCATTGATTTTGCTCCTTTGTCGTTTTGGTCTATGCCTATTGCCATTTTGGTCTGTTGCCGTTTTGGTACTTATTGCCGTTTTGGTTTATTGCTGTTGAACTGCTACCAAAGAGAGATATACTACTTAAATGTTTATCAATGCTGTATGTACTGTATGTATGTATTATCGTGTGCAGGCCTAGAATGTGTTATTTTTACTTACTTGCTAGGCCTAATTATGTATAGTAGTAGTACTACCGTCAATGTTTGTTGTACTAAGGATAGGCTCTAGGCCTACATACTTAAAGTTGCCAGCAGTGGAAACTAGGTCTAGGATAGGAATAGCCTAGGCCTAACAAAATAAGGTCTGGAGGCAATTTTGAAGGAAATAATAATGGCACCCCTAGGCCCTATGCTAGGCCTTGCCTACAGTAGGATAGGCCTAGATAAATACAGTAGGCCTAGGCTAGGCCCAGGCTAAGTAAGCCTCTGCCGAGTTGACATGAATACAGATCATTTCGGTCGCGCCTCACTGCGGTCGCGGTTTGTTTTCAGCAAATATATGGAGCGCCAATGGAGTTGCGAAAACGCTAAATTTAATACAACTAGGCCTAATTATCATTGTAAGT